TCATCCTTATTGAGTGTCCAACTTTCAGATGCACAGGAAGCAATTGAAAACACCATGGAAAACATCAGGTACACCTTAGTCGTTCAACTGACATCCTTGCTCTTTAGAACTGTGGAGAGATCCTTGCAGATTTCTCCAGTGCAACAAGTCTTTTATTTCTACTTGATGTTGTTGGATTGTGGATCCAGGTAAAATGAAGTCCCTGACAACATTAGTCTTCTCTCCGTCTGTCATAATGTTGCCCATTTGCTCAGGGCTGAGGATTTGTGTTTTGCTGATGTTGAGGAAACTCACAATGAATTGGATCTTCTACAGGAAGTGCTTCAAGTCGTCGTCGTCTTTTCTTTTTTTTCCCTCCAAGGCTTCTGCACTTTCTGCAAGCAACGTTGTGTCATCTGCATAAAACAGGCTGTTGATAATAAGCTTTCCTCCGAACCTGATGCCACGTTCTTCTTCATATATTCCAGCTTCCCGAATGATTTGCTCAGCATACAGATGGAACAGGTACAGAGAAAGGATCCAACCCTGATGCACACCTTTCCTGATTTTAAACCACTTCAAATAGTATCTAGAAAATGTTTTACTGTTACCAGGAAACAAAATAGACCCTAAATAGAAAGGTGAAACTGAGCTCCTACTGGTGTTTCCTCCTCTTGTTCCGCCTGTCTTTTTACATGGCATTTAAAGTCAGCTATGAGGAGGAGTGTGGCGTCAGGATTGGTGGAAGATCCATAAAAAATCTGTGTTATGCAGATGACACAACCCTGCTTGCTGAAACTGAGGAGGACCTGAAGTGCTTGTTGCAGAGGGTCAAGGACTGCAGCCTTCAGTATGGATTGAGGTTCAATGTCAAGAAGACAAAGATTCTCACCACTGGACCAATTGGCAGCATCAGGATGGATGGCGAAGAGATTGAGATTGTTCACAGCTTTCGTTTGCTTGGCTCCACAGTCAACACTCTTGGCACCAGTAGCCAGGAAATCAAAAAACGTATTGCGATGGGAAAGTCTGCTGTTAGGGACCTCTCTAAAGTACTGAAGAGCAATGGTGTCACTCTGGAGACTAAGGTGTGTCTGATACAGGCAATCACTTGTTATGCATCAGAGAGTTGGACAATGACTAGGGAGGATAGAAGGAGAATTGATGCCTTTGAGCTGTGGTGCTGGAGAAGAGTATTGAATGTATCCTGGACTGCCAAGAAAACAAACAGATTCATCCTGGAGAGGGTTAAACCAGGCTACTCCTTGGAGGCAAGGATTCTGGGGCTTCGTCTGACATACTTTGGACATGTTGTAAGGAGGGAGAGGTCCTTGGAGAGGGCCATCATGCTTGGGAGGGTGGAGGGACAGCGCAGGAGGGGAAGGCCCTCTATGAGATGGATTAATTCAGTGACTGGGGTAATCGGGATGGAAGTGTCAGAGGCAGTGAGATTGGCACAGGATAGAGCAGGGTTTAGGGCTGTTGTACACAGGGTAGCTACACAAGACTCGATGGCACATAGCAACAACATATCAAGCCATTGCCCTGGATTTGAACCAACTGACAGTTGACCCTCCCCTGGGTTTCTGAGGCTGTAAGTCACACACAGGAGATTGTGTACCTTTCTCCTGTACAGTCACTTGTATGAGAACCAGCAAAGAAGTGCCACCTTTACGTAAGCAGCTCAACTCTTTACAGACTACATCAATAGAACTCAAAAGAACATTGGAATCCACTAACAGTCATGGTTTGGTTCTGGCCAGAATCTAAGAGTCAGCTCCTCCCAGCGCAAGCCCTACCACATTCTAGGTCAGACAAGAATATGTCAGGCTTAACTCTCATTGCAGTTCAATCTAGTTCAACTCTAAGTGATCATACAGGATAAGGGTTGAACTGCTCATCGAGTTTCTAAGGCTGTAAGCTTTACAGAGGCAGACTGACACACGGCTCTCCAGTGGAGCCACTCACAGATTCCAACTGGCTTCCAAACACTTAACCACAGTGCCACCAAGGCTCTTCAGACATCAGGCTTATCATAGCTCACCTTTTTCCTGCGTATGTGAAAGTCTCAAGGGGGAACTTAAGGTTTTAAGTTATTATAGATAACAGACAAAACAGCTGTGAGATATCCTCTCACCCCAGTTAGACTAGCAAAATTTAACAGAACAGCAAACAACAAATGCTGGCGAGGTTGTGGAGAAACTGGAACCCTTATTCACTGTTGGTGGGCGTGTAAAATGGTGCAACCACTGTGGAAGGTGATATGACGCTTCCTCAAAAAGTTGGAAATAGAAACACCATTTGACCCAGCAATTTCACTACTGGGAATATACCCCAAAGAAACCATAACTGCCACCCACGCAGATGTATGCATACCCATGTTTATTGCAGCTTTGTTCACAATAGCAAAGAGTTGGAAACAACCTAAGTGCCCATCAACAAATGAATGGATAGAGAAGCTGTGGTGTATTCACACAATGAAATAATATGATGTGTTGAAAAACAAGGAACTCACAAAATAGTATACAAAATGGGTGACTCTGGAGGACATTATGCTGAGTGAAATATCTTAGTCACAAAAGGATAAATACTGCAGAGTACCACTGTTGTAAAACAGGACTGACATCAGGGTTGAGGGGAGACTGAGAAAGATGGGATAAATAATGTTTACTGCATTGAAACAGAAAAGGGAGAGAACTGTTTAAAAGGGATATATGATTAGGTGTTATTGTCATGGCAGGAGTCCAGAACGAAGGCTGCATAGTGGAGTGGAATGGGGAGAGGGGAGAGATTATATAACAATGAAAGAATTTTTCTTTTACTTTTCAAAGAGAAGAGCGAAGGGGGTTGGAGGGTTGGCAGGGAGAAAAGTGCAACAATGAATGAATGGAAATCCAAAGTCTCTGTAAACGTTCATTAAAATTAATCTAAAAAAAAGAAAAAGAAAAGAAGAGCCTGCCACAGGTCTTTCTCTGATCACACATTTCAAAACATGTAAAACGGCTTTGTGGGAGGCTGTTGTTGTTGTTATGTGCCATCAAGTCGTTTGTGACTCATAGCGACCCTATCTATGTACAACAGCCCTAAACCCTGCTCTATCCTATGCCAGTCGAATTGCCTCTGACACACCCATCCCGATTACCCCAGTCACTGAATCAATCCACCTCATAGAGGGCCTTCCCCTCCTGCGCTGTCCCTCCACCCTCCCAAGCATGACGTCCCTCTCCAAGGACCGGTACCCTCCTTACAACATGTCCAAAGTATGTCAGACGAAGCCCCAGAATCCTTGCCTCCAAGGAGGAGCCTGGTTTAACCCTCTCTAGGATGAATCTGTTTGTTTTCTTGGCAGTCCATGGTACATTCAATAATCTTCTCCAGCACCACAGCTCAAAGGCATCAATTCTCCTTCTATCCTCCCTAGTCATTGTCCAACTCTCTGATGCATAACAAGTGATTGCAAAGACCATGGCCTGTGTCAGACGTACCTTAGTCTCCAGAGAGACACCGTTGCTCTTGAGTACTTTAGAGAGGTCCCTAACAGCAGACTTTCCCATTGCAATACGGCTAGCCACACTTAATTTGTTAGAGAATGGTGCAGGAATACTGAAAACCGATGTGGCAATGACGTGCACAGTCAGAACTTTTTCCCAAGACTTTCTTGCCTTCTTGCACACAGGTAAAGGGGTGTGTGTGTGTGCGCGCGTGTGTGTGTGTGTGTGTGTGCAGATTCCATTTCCCACAAGAATGAAAGCAAAGACCTAGGCATGCATCCTTCAAGGTAACCTAAAAGGGTGCACAGCCGCAGGGACGTGGGGCTCCCCTTGCGCCCGAGTTGGTGGTATCCCCAGAGTTCCAACCACAGCGGAAGGTCCCAGTCCCAGTGCACCCTCCCGCCTTCAGCCAGTTCCGAGGATCCCACTGCTCTGTGTCCGCTCGGTAGGGCCGGGTGGATTCCAAATGTCCCCACTTCTTACCATCCTCAGAGACGAGGCTTGGAGGCGGCGCTGGGCTGAGGGATTGAGCCAAGAAGGGGACTCGGGAGAAGTCTGGGATCAGGGAGGGGTCCAGGGCAGGGAAGGGGTAGGGGATGTGGCTGGGCGAGGCCTCCTCCCTGCGGCTCCACATGCTGCTGCGTCTCTGTGTTGTCATGGTGACCTGCGCGCGTCCTGCCCCAACTCGTGGGCGCGCGCTCCGGTCCCATGGCACGAAGCGCCTGCGCAGACCTGGAAGGCGGGATCCAGGAACGTCGGGGTCCTTGCTGTCCATTCTGAGGCCTCTTCCTGGGCGGCCAGTGACTTCTGGTTCCCGAGAAGCCTCTCAGCCTTCTGTGCCAAAGTCACCCCGCTGTGCGTTCAAAAGGCACGAAGAGGGTGCCCATCTCCTCCTTTTCAGGGAGAAGAGTTTAGGGGACATGGCTAGAGGGCTGGGGGTATACAAAGGATTATGACACAGATTCATTTTCCAAAGTGTGCACAGGCCTGCGTGCCCAGAGCACAGAAACATGCTAAGGGCGTGCACCACCACGTGTTCAGGACGTGAAGCTGTAGGAGCATAAAGGACATGTACGCCAGTCTCGTGAGGATGGGACAGGATATTACAGAGGACTTCCTGGAAGAGGTGACAAAAGGGCTGGTCCAAGTGAACCTGCCAAGCACGCTGGAGATGGTAGGTAACTTAGGATGCTCAGAGCAGTGTAGAGAGCGGGGACATAGTTAGACGCACAAGACCCTGTACCTCCTTTCAGGAGCAAGGCTGCTGTGGGGTGGGGTGATGGAAGCTCAGCCCTGATGGAGAATGAAAGGTAACAGATAGGACGGGCAGGACGGGTGACCAGCAGTAGCCGTCCTGAGACAGTGATAGCTCAGCTAAATCGGGGTTGGAAAATGAGGAAGGAGATACCCAGGAGTAACAGACAGGGTGACATGGTCAGGATTTGTTAACTGGATAGAGGGGGAGGGAAAGGGCAGGAAAGACTTTTGGATAGGTTGGCACTGACCGAGGAGGAGGTGGGAGTGGTGTGCAGAGGACTCTGGAGCCAGCCAGGGACTTCTGGGTGGGGGTGGGGGGGAGGTACAAGGAGTCCCTCGAGCGGGAACTTGGCTCTTTATGTTGCTGTCATTGTTAGGTGCTGTCCAATCAGCTAGGTTGGACTTAGAATGATCTTCTGAATGACAGATCTAAACTGCCTTGTCCTGTGCCATCCTCACAATCTTCCACGTGCTCAACCCCATCGTTAAAGTCACTAGATCAATACTTCTACTTTGCATCTTTCCAGAAATGTTGTCCTTTTCAATGGATCTGCCCCACCTGACAACATTCACTAAGGATATGAGATGGAGTTGAACCGCCCTGACCTCTAAAGGAGCCCTCTGGTTGCACTTCCTCCTGGAAAAATGTGTTTGTTCTTTTGAGAGTCCGTGAGATATTCAGCACTCTGCTCCAACACCACAACTCCAAGGCATCTAGTCTACTTTGCTTTTCTATGTTTATGGTATTTCTCTGAGAAGCACAGGAGGGAGTTCTGGTGGCCTAGTGCCAAGAAACTGTGCTGCAATCCTGAAGGCCAGCAGTTAGAATTCACCGGACGCTCTGCTGGAGAAGAAGGGACGTTCTCCTCCTGTGTGAGTCAGTTCTGATTCGACGGTATACAATAAAAAACGGGTAAAAAAAAAACCCAAACAAACCCAAATAACTATGAGAGAACCATATCACCCCAGTAAGAATAGCAAAATTTAAAATAGCAAACATCAAATGCTGGCGAGGTTGTGGAGAAACTGGAACCCTTATTCACTGTTGATGAGAGTGAAAAGGGTGCAACCCCTGTGGAAAGCAACTTTCTCAAAAAGTTGCAAATAGAGATGCCATTTGACTCAGCAATTTCACTACTGGGAATATACCTCGAAGAGACCATAACTGACATCCAAGCAGGTATTTGCACACCCATGTTTATCGCGGCTTTGTTCACAATAGCAAGGAGTTGGAAACAACCCAGGTGCCCATCAACAAACAAATGGATAGAGAAGCTGTGGTATATTCACACAATGGAATATTATGCTACATTGAAAAACAAGGAACTCATGAAATATTATACAAAATGGGTGACTCTGGAGGACATTATGCTGAGTGAAGTGTCTCAGTCACAAAAAGACAAATACTGCGGGGTGCCACTGTTATAAAACAGGACTGACCTCGGGGTTGGGGAGAGACTGAGAAAGATGGGTTCAATAATGTATACTGCATTGAAACAGATGAGGGAAAAAACTGTTTAAAAGGGTTATGTGATTAGGTATTTTTGTCATGATAGGAGTCTAGAGCAAAGGCTACATGGTGGAGTTAACGGTGTGTGTGTGTGTGTGTTGGTGGAGTGGACCTGGGGGAGGGTTTGTAAAACACTGAGAGAATTTTTCTTTTACTTTTCCAAGAGGGCAGTGTACTAGGGGGGAGGATTGGGAGGGGAGAAAAGTGCAACAATGAATAAATGGAAATCCAAAGTCTCTGTAAATTTTTACTGAAATTAATAATAAATTTAGATTTAAAAAAAAAAACACTAGGATTTTATAATGGAAAGGCCAGCAGTTTGAGTCCATCAGCTGTTCCTCAAGAAAATATGAAACAATCTGTTAAGATTTCCAGCCCTGATTACTATCAGTTGGAGTCAACCCAACACCAGTGGGTTTGTTTTTATTCATATTAAGGGCAAAAGGAAGGCGTTCTGGCATTTGGTGCCCATTGAAAGCTCAGTGGTTGGAACTCACTAGCCGTATCTTAGCACAAAGACATGACGAATCTGCTTCTGCCAAGATTACAGCTTTTCAAGAAATGTTGGTGGGGATGTGGAGAGATAAGAACACTCCTGCAGGATAGGAACTCTCATACAATCTCATGGGGTTGTAAAATGGTACAGATATTCTGGAAGGCAGTTTGGCATTTCCTAAAAAAACTGAACATTCCATATAACCCAGATATTCCATTGCTTACAATACACCCCAAGAAAATCAGAACTGAGTCACAAATGGAGCTCTGTACACCAATGTTCATAGTAGCATCATTCACTATCACAAGAACATGGAAACTGTCCAAATGTCCAACCACAGTCATATAGACTGAGAAATTGTGGTACAGTCTACACAGCACTCAGGAGCAAAGATTTTGAAATTTACTGCATAATCTGGGAGGGACTGGAGATCATTATACTGAATTAACTCAGTCTCTTAAGGACAAATACTGTATAAAACCATTATTGTAGAAATAGAAAATAAATAATAAAATATGTATGAGGACCCGGGGGAGAGTAAGAGAAGAGGGGTGAAGTTGGTCAGGGGGCAATAAACCACAGGGTTGCACAATTTGGTAGAGAGGGGTGTGTAAAGGAAATGGGAAAGACCCTGTGGGGATCTGAGAAGACAGGGTAATGGTGGGCATAGTTCAATGGTGATTCATTTTATAAGATATAATGAAAGAGAATGATTGAATGGAACACTATGGGAATGAAAGATAGTGTGAAACACAACATCTACGAACTTGGTAAGCAAACAAATCTTTTTTAAAATTTATTAAAAAAGAAAAGATTACAACTTTTGAAACCTGATGGTGCAATTCTGTTCTGTTTATTTCTGTATTATTGTTTCCAGGTGGAGCTGACTTGATGGCAACAGCTTTTGTTTTTCCAGTACCAAAATTGTCACAGATGGTTAGATCTATGCATGAGTTAAGATGTTTTTCATTCTTTAAATAACAAAGTGGCACTAGTCCAGAGCTCTCTTTAAAGCTAGGTTAACAGCAAAGTATCCAAGCCACATGCTTGTGTGTTTTCAGAGACAATAACATCAAATGGGGACTGGAAATTCATCCCTTCCAAGTACAACATGGGTCTAACGCTGGATGCGAGATGCAGGAACTCCAGAAGGTCAAAGATGCTGCAGTCCACAATCTCCCAGACCATTGTGCCAAGCTCTTCTCCACCTCATGTATCATGTTACTGTTGTTGCGTGACTCATAGCGACGCTGTGAACAAAAGATCTGAATGAACCCTGTTCTATCCTGCACCGTCCTCACACTTCCTGACACACAAGAGCCCATTCATTGCAGCATGTCAATACATCTGGTTGCCAACCCCCCACAGAAAAAGATAAGAGTCTGACTGGCATTTGAAGCAAAAGGGTTTTATAGAGAGACAAAGCAATGTGAAGTTGGGATTTCCAGGTCCAAATGATTGTGAACTGAGCCACCAAAGGAGGAGACAGTAATGGACGGACACACTAACTGCAGCCGAGGACTCAAGTATTAAGAAAAGGTGAAGATGGCACAGGGGAGGACAGGATTCAGGTCTGTTGTTTATAGAGTCAAATCACCCGGGAGGAGACTGCCCGTTCTTCTGTGTAGCAGCTGCTGGATCCGAACTACACATCTTTGTGTGGGCGGTGCAATTCCTTACCACTAAGCCATCAGAGCTTTCTTTTTCTTTTATTATTCCCTTCTCTCCTACTTATCATCTGCAAGAGATTACATCTATGTAGTCTGGGTTTTGGGTTTGTTTTTGTTTTTTTATTTTTAAGTTCTTGTCGTTGTTAATTGATTGCTTTCGAGTCGAGCACGACTCATAGTGACCCTATAAACAAAAGGCTTGAAGCCCCTCTACAACTATAGACATTTATCCAAGTTCATAGCGTTTCTGGAGGCATGTTGATTAGGAAGTGGGTGCCACTCCTGCTTCCAAACCTGTCATAGTATGTTATTGTTGTGTGCCATTGAGTCACATGTGATGCATAGTGACCCAATGTACAGCAGCTCTGAAGCCTGCCCTGTCCTGAGCCAGTCTCACTAATTCTGACACATCAACCCCCATTGCTCCAGTCACTGAATCAATCCATCTCACTGGGGTCTTCTTCTCCTGCACTGTTGTCCACCCTTCTGAGCATGATGTCCTTCTCCAAGGACTGATCTTTCCTGGCCACGTGCCCAAAGTAAGTGAGGCTGAGCTTAAAAATCCTAGCCTCCAACTAAAGACTTGGTTTCACCCTCTCCAGGACAGACTTATTTGTTTTCTTGGCAGTTCATGGTATGTTTAAGACTCTTCTCCAGCACCACAACTTGAAGGCATCTATTCTTCTTCTTCTTCTGTCATTCTTACTCATTGTCCAACTCTCTGAAGCATAGCTAGTTATTGTGAAGACAATGGCCTGGACTAGGCGCACTTTTGTATCTAGACTGACATCGTTGCTTTTCAACACTCTGGAGAGGTCCATGACAGCAGATTTTCCCAATACAATTCATCTTTTGATTTCCTGACTTCTGATGTTAAGAGTGTTGTTTGTGGATCTGAGCAAGCTGTAATTGCTAACAAACTCCATCTCTTCTCCATCTAATATGATGTTGCCAATTGGCTCTGTGGTGAGAATCTTTGTCTTCTTGATAGTGAGCTTCAATTCATATTGAAGACTACAGTCCTTGACCTTTTGCAGCAAGTGCTTCAGGTCCTCCTCAGTTTCAGCAGCAAGGT